GGCTTGAGGCGTGGATACTAGGCTACGTTTATTGTACATATATCAGGACAAAGAAACCATGGCTTCTCTCTTTGCTGTTCTTCTCGCAGAGAGAACACAAATGCAATACAGAGCGGATGTTCCGCTCACGAGACTCCAACAATCTGTGCTGGAATGCAAACAGACATGTGACATGTAACAATCCCACACATCTGCAGCGCGGGAGGAGTGGAATTCTCCAGGCACAGTGGTTGCCTGCAAGGGATTCCCACCCGGCGGGGTTGATGTTGCCAGCCTTCATGTCATATTTGCAAACATCTCTGACACAGAGTTGGTCTGCCAACGGGCTTGGTGCATGAAGCCAGCTCCCCTTCGGGATCCTGCCATCTTCTGTTCTGTTGACATAACCAAGCCAGCATAGACATCGCTGAGACAGGAGTGTGAACATGCTGGGAACATACTGGGAATGAGCACATCTTTGTTTGAGACTCTGTCCTGCCATGTGATGCTCAAAATATTCCTGATGCAACACATCTGGGCACCATTGAGGAGTCGCTTCTGATGGTTGTAAGTTGCCCACGACTCACTTCCATAAAGCAGCGTCCTCAACACGCAAGCCTAGTAGACCTTCATCTTGGTATTGGCTGGACTAAATGGGTTATCAGCCTGATCCACACAGCTCTTCTTACATTCTTAGGTTTTTTTGTTTTTTGTTTACTAAAACAACAAACCATTAATGCTCAAACACACGTTAGCCTGAACACAGAAGACACACCAACGGATCACAACCAACCAGTCTTCTCCTAAACATCCAGAGCCAGTGTGGTGTAGTGGTTAAGAGCGGTAGACTCGTAATCTGGGGAACCGGGTTCGCTTCCCCGCTCCTCCACATGCAGCTGCTGGGTGACCTTGGGCCAGTCACACTTCTCTGAAGTCTCTCAGCCCCACTCACCTCACAGAGTGTTTGTTGTGGGGGAGGAAGGGAAAGGAGAATGTTAGCTGCTTTGAGACTCCTTAGGGAAGTGATAAAGCGGGATATCAAATACAAACTCTTCTTCTTCTTCTTCTTCTGTTGGCATCACGTTTTCCCATACCCTTTTGGAAAGGCGATTGCCATAGCTGCCTTACCACTACGCTTGTGCAGTTCGGCGTCAATGCAGAGATTGCTAGTTATGGTGGAACCCAGGGAGACAAAATAGTCTTGCCCCTCCCCAGTGCTGATGCATGGAGTGTTGGTGACTTCCTGCCCCAAGATATTGTCTTCATCAGGCTGATTATCTCCTAATTTACACCTTCTTTGTTCTAATTAGCTGAATAGTCATATTTTTGCAAAGAAATTTCCCCTGATAGAATGCATTTAAATATATTCATTTAGGTATCTTTTCCTATATGTATTTTCACATATGCATTTACACGCACACTTTGCCCGGGTATATGCATTTCTGTGTTGTTGTTGTTTAGTCGTTTAGTCGTGTCCGACTCTTCGTGACCCCATGGACCAGAGCACGCCAGGCACCTCTGTCCTCCACTACCTCCCGCAGTTTGGTCAATCTCATGCTGGTAACCTCGAAAACACTATCCAACCATCTCGTCCTCTGTCGCCCCCTTCTCCTTGTGCCCTCCACCTTTCCCAGCATCAGTGTCTTCTCCAGGGAGTCTTCTCTTCTCATGAGGTGGCCAAAGCATTGGAGCCTCAGCTTCACGATCTGTCCTTCCAGTGAGCACTCAGGGCTGATTTCCTTAAGAATGGATGCGTTTGATCTTCTTGCAGTCCATGGGACTCTCAAGAGTCTTCTCCAGCACCATAATTCAAAAGCATCAATTCTTCGGCGATCAGCCTTCTTTATGGTCCAGCTCTCACTTCCATACATCACTACTGGGAAAACCATGGCTTTAACTATACGGACCTTTGTTGGCAAGGTGACGTCTCTACTTCTCAAGATGCTGTCTAGGCCTGTCATTGCCCGTCTCCCAAGAGAAGCATTTCTCCCAAGAGAGCATTTCTGTACTTAACTGGAAAACTGTATTGCAAAATTTGTAGAAATGTCAACTTTGACGGCTGTGCTTCAGTTCACCTCTTGTTTTGGAAAGCGCAAATTAGCTGAGCTCACCATTTATTTATTTTTGTTAAAGATTTCTTGGTTTACAAAAGTATGTACAATGTCTCTTTTTTCAAGTTATGTTTTCTGCAGGTCAGTTTCAAGTTATGTTTTCTGCAGGTCAGTTTCATTTGTTGTGAGACAGTAGTGTTACATTAGTTTTTCTAATAAGGCTGTTTCCCATACTATTTGATACCATTGGTCTACGCTTACTCCTAACAGCTCTCTCCAGTACCTGGCTATGATGCTTCTGAGCTCTTTGTGATGTGAGTGGGCGTTATTATCTTAAAAGATGTTTAGTAGGTCCAGTTCTGGGGTGACTTCTAATACTTGCTTAGTTATTTTGCATTATTTCTTGCATGATTGATGTCCAGAAGAGTTGGATTTTAGGACATTCCCACCACATGTGGAGGTATGTGCCTGTGGAGGTGCACCCTCTCCAGCATTTTGGTGAGGTTCCTGGGCATATTAGTGCTAGTTTCTGTGGAGTTAGTTACCACCTGTTAGTGAGTTTCAGAGTGAGTTCTTTTCTTTTCACTGATACGGATTTAAAGGGAGGTTTAGACCACATTCTGGTCCATTGGGTGGGGTTGATCTCATACAGGGACGTGGACTTATAAAAAATATTGGGGGGGCCCGGGAAAGCTCATGAATAATAAATAAGCTCATGAATATGCAAATAAAGTGGCTCCGGCTCTAAATAGGGCAAGCCACGCCCCCCAGCCAGCCGATTGGCTGGCTGGGAGGTGTGGCCAGTCGGGATTCCCCTGTTCTCGCGGGGGCTGAAACCGCCAGGAGGAAGGAAATTCCCCCCGGCAGTGCCTTGGCAGTGGCGGTGGTGCTGCGAAGCAGCGAGGGAGGAGCCCCCGCCCCCGGGGATTCCCTAATCTCGCGGGGGACGGCCGGGGCTCTCCGACTAGGGCGCGCGGCTGGCTTGCTGGCTGGCGAGGGAGCAGGTGGGGAGGAGGCGGGGGACGGCGGCGGCGCTCTGCTGGAAGGGCGCCCGAGATTATTGGGGGGGCTGAGCCCCCCCAAAAAATTTTTTGAGGGGGCTCGAGCCCCCTCAGGCCCCATGGAGTCGGCGCCTATGATCTCATAGCCTATGTCGCCCTCCCATTGTTTTTAGATTACGTCTAGGGGGGTTGTGGGATTTTGGAGTAGTATTTTGTATATTGTGGATACCATCCCATTACTGTGTCCCTTTGTTGTTAGGAGGGTTTTTTTTTGAAGGTTGTCAAGGACAACTGATTTCACTTCTGGATTGTTTAAGAGGGCATGTAATTGGTGGTGTGTTAGCCCAGGGCATTTGAGTGTTCCCTAGTTTGTCTTGTATTTCTTGTGTTGATGTGGATTTGTTATTTCTGTAGAAGTCTGCTAGGCTGTATAAGCCTTTGGTTGGCCAGGTTTTTAACTGGAGGTTTTGTGTTGCGTGGTGGAATAGTGGGTGGTGTGCCAGGGGAATTAGTGGGGATGGGGTTGGGAACAGTTTACCTACTTCTTCTTTTCATGCTTTAAGCATGGTCTGTGTGAACCTGTTTAGTGTTGTGGGGATTTTCCTTAGTATGGGAGGAATGAGTATGCTATGGTGCGGGTATTTTCAATTATGTCCCTCTCCAGGTGTACCCATTGTTTTGTCTCATCTTCTAATATATACGGGATTATGTGGCGTACTTGGTTGGCGATGTTATAGGCTTCTGTGTTGGGGATTCCCCATCCTCCTTCTGAGGAGGGGAGGTGCAGGTATTTGGGGCTTATTCTTGTTTTTTTGTGTGAGAAGATAAATGAGTGTAACTTTTTCTGCCATTTGCGAAGTTGGGCTGGGGAAATCCAGATTGGGATCAGGAGGTTAATTTTGGGAGGCTGATCATTTTGATCATGGCTGTTTTTTCTGAGAGAGTGAAGTTGGTGTTCCATCCCTTCAGGTCTTTGTTGATCTGTCACCACAAGGGGTTGTAGTTGTGGAGGTATAATTTGTTGAGCTTTCTGGTTACAGTGGTACCTCGCAAGACGAATGCCTCGCAAGACGGAAAACTCGCAAAACGAAAGGGTTTTTGGTTTTTTGTGTTGCTTCGCAAGGCGGATTTCCCTATGGGCTTGCTTCGCAAGACGGAAACGTCTTGCAAGTTTGTTTCCTTTTTCTTAACACCGTTAATACAGTTGCGACTTGACTTCGAGGAGCAACTCATAGCACACGGTGTGGTAGTCTTTTTTGAGGTTTTTAAAGACTTTGGTGATTTTTGAAGCTTTTCCGAAACCGTGCCTCGCAAGACAAAAAAATCGCAAGACGGAAAAACTCGCAGAACGAATTAATTCCGTCTTGCGAGGCACCACTGTATTTGTACCCCATGGTATCTGAACTTGGTGCGGCAAAGTTTTATGTTGGTGAATGAGGAGGTTGTTGAAGCACTTAGCCTCAGACTTGGCAAAATTTACCTGAAGGCTCGACACCATTGCAAATGTGTTGAGTTCTCTGATTAGGGAGGTTGCTGTGTTTATGGGGTCTGGTGTTGTGACCATTAGGTCGTCTGCAAAGAGCCCTAATTTATAGGCTCTACCTTTTATTTCCACTAGCTGGGCTCACCATTAAATGCAAATGAATTTTTCCTCCATCCCTACTTCTAAACAGGTGTTAACAGCGATGCATCCTAAGCCCACCGTTTACTTGGCCTTTACAGAGGCACAATCTGGGACACATTTCTGAGCAAAACCAATAATCCATCTCCAAAGATATGTGGGAGGCTGCATCAGCTTTCCAGAGAGAGCTCGTAAAATCTGTCAACGGAAAGGAGATGTTGAATCAGCAAGACTTTTTTTTTTAAGCCACACCCATGAATTGCTAGAATATGACCAGAGATGCTTCAATCTGACCATATTTGGCCATATTGCAAAAAGATGCTCTTTGCCCTTTTGCTCTTTGCCCTGAAAAGCCACAGCAGGTGTATTTATGATACTTTTTAATTGCACACATGGTTTCCAATAAAACGTGTGTCAATAGAGAAGCAGAGATATAAGATCAAGGGCAGATTGGCCAGGAACAGGTAAGTGTGATGAGGAAGGAAAAGATTTTGTGATTACTGGGAGCATCGTGAGATTAACAGCAAAGGCAACTGCATCTCTCTCAGGTAAGTATGAAATGGGGCTCAGCACCCACGGTTTCTCTGCCTGATCCTTATCTGTACTCTTTGTCTCCTCTCTTCTCTGTAGAATCACTGTAGAGTTGGAAGAGACCCACAAAGGTCATCTACTCTGCAATGCAACGTACGCAAAACACCAAATTGGCTAACCCGTCATGATTATTTATTTCATGCAAAGCCCCTTCAAGCAGCTCAGCCTGCCACACGCACCCCTACTTTGCTTTAATACAGTGGTACCTCGGGTTACATACGCTTCAGGTTACATACGCTTCAGGTTACACACTCCGCTAACCCAGAAATAGTGCTTCAGGTTAAGAACTTTGCTTCAGGATAAGAACAGAAATCGGGCTCCGGCAGCAGGAGGCCCCATTAGCTGAAGTGGTGCTTCAGGTTAAGAACAGTTTCAGGTTAAGTACGGACCTCTGGAACGAATTAAGTACTTAACCCGAGGTACCACTGTAATCACAACAACCTTGCAAGGTAAGTAACACTGAGAGACAGCGACTGCCTCCAAGTCACCCAGTGATTTGAACCCAGATCTTCCTGGTCCTGGGCCAACATAACATCTGGATCAGGAGAGGCTGTGAAAGACATGGACTGGCGTCTGGATGCAGTGGTGGACTGGGTGAGGGCCCATAAACTGTGCTTGACTCCTGGAAAGATGGGGGCTCTTTGGGTAGGTAGCTACCATGTTCAGGAAACGGGCAAGTTACCCGTTCTGGAGGGGTTGCATGCTATCTGAAGAGGCAGGTGCGCAGTTTGTGGGTACTTCTGGATACATCTTGGTCACTAGAGGCCCAGGTGTCCTGTGGCTGAGAAGGCCTTTTACCAGCTTTGTCTGGTTCACCAGCTATGGCTGTTCCCAGAGAGGGGTAGCCTAACCCCTGTAGGCCATGCCCTGGTAACATGAGGCACTCTTGTTGAAACAGCTGCACCGGCTGCCCACCTACTGCTGAACAGAGTTCAGGCTCCTTGTGCTAATTTACAAAGCCTTGAACCACTTGGGTCAGGGATCCTCAGGGTGTCTGAATCCTTATATCCCAGCTTGATCACGGAGATCAGCTTCAGGAGCACCACTGGCTGAGGCTCACTTGATAACAGCAAGAACTCAAACCCTTAGTGCCACCAGCCCACTCCTGTGGAACTCTCTGCCACTAGACATCCAGCAGGTGTCTTCCATGCCAACTTTTGAAGACCTGCTCAAAGCACTCCTATTCTGCCAGGCCTATGTAGGCAGTTAAGGGTGCATTCCCCACAGAAGTCTACTGATGTTTGTTGTAAATTAGTTTAACTTACTTTTAACTTTTTAGGATTCTGTCGTTTTATAGTTTCAGATTGTTGTAAGCTGCTGTGATATATATGTATGGTACAACAGTACATAGATATCTATTATAAAAAAACCCATTACCAACAAAGCCACGAAATGGAGTGGCTACGGAAGGAGACCTTGAATTAGGAGAACTGTTCTAGTGGCAGCTGGTTTGGGTCACTGAGACAGATCCTCCATGTGTCCTTCCTGTTGTCCAAAGATTGGCAGGGGAAAGGGATGGAAATGGAGAGTTGAACATGGGGTAAGCAGTCTTAGATACAGTGGTAGCTCTGTTTACGTACTTAATTCGTTCTGGAGGTCCCTTATTAACCTGAAACTGTTCTTAACCTGAGGTACCACTTTAACTAATGGGGCCTTTTGTTGCCGCCGCGCCGCTGGCGCACAATTCCTGTTCTCATCCTGAGGTAAAGTTCTTAACCCGAGGTACTACTTCTGCATTAGCAGAGTCTGTAACCTGAAGTGTTTGTAACCTGAAGCGTTTGTAACCCGAGGTACCACTGTACTTGATAATTGTTTATATGAGCACATTTCCTCCCTTGCAGTGAGTTCTGGAATATTCATAAACCCCAACATGAATATTATCTGGGGGGTAAACAACTCTTTGTTTATTTCCTGCAGACTTGCTCCAAATGGCTGAGAATGGGGCTGCCGCTCTGGTCATTGACAATGGCTCTACGACATGCAAAGCAGGTTTTTCAGGAGAGGACGCCCCCCGGGTGGTCTTCCCCATGGTTGTGGGGAGGCCCAGGGACCAAGATGCCATGGCAGGCTTAGGGCAGGACAGCTACGTGGGGGCTGAGGCACAGAGCAAGAGGGGCATCCTCACCCTGAAGTACCCCATCCAATATGGCATCGTCAGCAACTGGGATGACATGGAGAAGATCTGGCACCACACCTTCTACAACGAGTTGCGGGTGGCCCCCGAGGAGCACCCAGTCTTGCTCACAGAAACCCCCAATAACCTGAAGAACCACCGTGAGAAGATGACGCAGATCATGTTTGAGACTTTCAACACGCCAGCCCTGTACGTGGCCATCCAGGCCGTGCTGTCGCTCTATACTTCTGGCCGCATCACCGGGATTGTCATCGACTCTGGGGACAGCATGACCCACATGGTGCCCATCTATGAGGGCTATGCCCTGCCCCGCATTCCCAGGCCCCTTCCCTTTGCGGGCCATGAGCTGACTGACTACCTCATGAAGATCCTGTCTGAGAGGGGCTACAACTTTGTCACCGCAGCCGAGAGGGAGATAGTGCAGGACATCAAGGAGAAGCTCTGCTACGTGGCCCTGGACTTTGATCAGGAAATGGCCACGGCCGCCTCCTCCTCCCTGGAGAGGAGTTATGAGCTGCCGGACGGGCAGGTGATCACCATTGGCGACGAGCGCTTCCGGTGCCCCGAGGCCCTCTTCCAGCCCTCCTTCATGGGCTTGGAGTGGGCTGGCATCCACGAGGCAACCTTCTACTCCATCATGAATTGTGATAAGGACATGCGCAATGTCTTGTCTGCCAACACGGTACTCTCTGGTGGCAGCACCATGTACCCTGGCATTGCTGACCGGATGCAGAAGGAGATCACATCCCTGGCCCCCAGCACGATGAAGATCAAGATCATCGCCCCGCCAGAGCACAAATATTCGGTGTGGATCGGGGGCTCCATCCTGGCCTCTCTCTCCACCTTCCAGCAGATGTGGATCAGCAAGCAGGAGTACGATGAGTCTGGCCCATCCATCGTCCACCGCAAATGCTTCTAACAATCCAAGCAGCCAACCTCTTCTGGCCAAGTCAATATATATTGGGGCCTTGCTTTTATCTGTTGAATTCTGTCCTCTTGCAGGATATTTAGTATTTATCCAGTTCTTGATTTGGCTCCTGCATGGGACAACCTTTGTCCACCGCTTTGTCAATAATAATAATAATAATAATAATAATAATAATAATAATAATAATATATTATTTATACCCCGCCCATCTGGCTGGGTTTCCCCAGCCACTCTGATTGTGTACCACCTTCGCCTTTTCTTTTTTCTGATTCATGTGGAGTTCAGTACTTTATTACTATCCATTTTCTCTGTCAAACAAAACAAGCCAATAAAGTCATGCTAAATGAAGTAAAAATTGGTGTGCTTCTTGTAGTAAACGACTCTCTTGATAAACATTTGGAGAAAAAAAAGTGTGGCTTATATTTGGGTCAATACGGTAAATTGTCCTAAATACCACACATGGGAGGACAAGAATAGGTGCAGAGTTTGGGTGCTGCAGCAGACAAGGCCCTGTCTCTTATAGCTACGAGGCATATTCATTTATGTCATTTACATACCCTCCATCATTTCTCCAATGAAAATAGGAATGTCCTAAGGAAAAACAGTGATAGGACATTCCAGGATCAAATCAGAAACCGGCCCGACTTCTGTAAATCTGGAACTGTCCCTGGAAAATAGGGACACTTGGAAGGCCTGAAAATACCTGCACCAAATGAAGGAAATGAAGCTGGCCTACGAAGCCCTTCCTATAGTTTTGAAAAAAAAAGGTCACCAATCCACTTCAAATTACTAAATTGCAATGCTTCTTCAGCCAGCCATTTTTTAGGAATCATGGGGAATGTTTATTCCTTTCTTGTAAATGGAGCCTGACACTCGGAGAGTCTGCATTTACGGTATTCTACAGTGTTGGGATTCTTGCATTTCAGGGGATTGGACTAGATCAGGGGTCTGCAACCTTTAAGACAAAAAGAGCCACTTGGACCCATTTCCGAAGAAAAAAAAACGGAGCCGCAAAACTCGTCATTATAAAAATAACTTTTTTGTCACTTTTTAAAATTATTTCTTTGTTTGACCCCTCAGAATTACTCCTCCTCATAGAAATAAACATTAAATTAACAAGTTACCTTTTTGTGTGTGTGTGTTCTTCACTCCCTTTCAATGCAGTGACCAGCGTACATGCCCCTTACAATGTAGCGGGCGGGCGGGAAGGTGACGTTGGGACGGTGCGTGACTAACGCACGCACCACCCCCATGCGACGTCACAGCCAGTACAGCACCCGCAACAGTGGGGAGTGTCGGGGCTCACAATGCGCCTCCTCCCCTCGCTAGTATCCGCCCCGGAGCCGCGGCAAAAGTGTAAAAGAGCCACATGCGGCTCCGGAGCCGTGGGTTGCAGACCCCTGGACTAGATGATCCACAGGGTCGGGGATGAATTTGCGTTCAACCTGGAAGTAACAGAACACATTCCTTCCGGGTTTCACCGCTTACGCATGCGCAGATGCTCAAAATGACGTCACGCGCATGCGTGGAAGCAGCAAGATGTGTCGTCACAGCTTACATTGCGTTCAGGATGCAAATGGGGCTCTAGAACAGATCCTGTTCGCATCCCGAGGTACCACTGTATATCCTACCTTTCCTCCAAGGGGCTTAAGCTTGCATGCATGTTCTTCCCATTTTATCCTCACCACGTGTTGCCTCCTTTTTACCCTTGGGTTAGTCTGAGGGTGAGCAACTGGCTGTACATAATAAATAAATTAATAAATAATAATAATAATAATAATTTTTATTTATACCCCGCCCTTCCCAGTTCAGAAAACCGGGCTCAGGGCGGCTAACAACAAATTTAAAACACTTAATTGATGCAACAAAAAACAGCATGAAATACAGTATAAAACGTGAATGACAATAAATTCAGAATTCAAAAATCAATTTAGGGGGAAAATCCATCCAATAAACATTAGGTGATCACCAGGGCTAGCTGGCTAAATTGGTCCTATTTGGGCCAGCGAGGAGACCAGGGGAGAATTAGCTGTGGGATCCCAGAGTGGGTAATAATAATAATAATAATAATAATAATAATAATAATAATATCTTTATTGTCATTGCCCCCTCTCGGGGACAACGAAATTACTTGGCTGCTCCATCCACCCAGGTAGGGCACTCCACACAAAATCAAAACTACTATAAAAACACTAATTAAAACAATACAGTATAATACAGCAAGGAAGATTAGATGACTTTCAAAGTCCAGGCTTCCCATTCAGGGCCGAGATCGCTCTGGAGAAGAAGCTGTTCTTAAGACGGCTTGTTCTTGTCTTCATCGTCCTGTATCTCCGTCCCGACGGCAGGAGCTCGAAGAGACAGTGACCAGGATGCGATGGATCTTTTACTATGTCCAGTGCCTTCCTATGGCACCTTGTGGCATAAATCTGCTCTAAGGTGGAGAGTGGGCAGCCAACAATGCTCTCTGCTGCCTTAACAACTCTGCACAACCCCATCCTGTCCTGGGTAGTACAGCTTCCGTACCACACACATAAGCCATAAGTGAGCACGCTCTCAATGGCACAGTGAATAATAAATATAATCTTCATAAAATCTTCATAAAAAGGGGAGGGGGAGGGATTATGAAGTAATCTTCATAAAAAGGGGAGGGGGAGGGAAGGAAGGGGAATAAAAGATCAGGTTAAGTTCAAATTGAAAGCCAGGCGGAATAGCTCTGTCTTACAGGCCCTGCGGAAGAAAGTTAAATCCTGCAAGGTCTGGTCTCATGGGACAGAGTATTCCACCAGGTCGGAGCCATCACTGAGAAGGCCCTGGCCCTGGTGGAGGATAATCTGACTTCCTTAGGGCCTGGGACCTCTAAACTATGATTATTCATGGACCTTAAGGTACTCTGCAGGGCATACCAGGAGAAGCGGTCCTGTACATATGAGGGCCCTAAGCTTTAAAGGTCAAGACCAGCACCTTAAACCTGACCCTATACTCCACTGGGAGGCAGTGCAACTGGTAAAGTGCAGGGTGAATATGCTCCCATGGCAGAGACCCCGTGAGGAGCCTCGCTGCAGCATTCTACACCCGCTGGAGTTTCTGGGATAGTTTCAAGAGCAGCCCCCCGTAGAGCGAATTACTGTAGTCAAGCCTGGAGGTGACTGTCGCATGGATCACTGTGGCCAGATCGGGGCGGGAAAGGTAAGGGACTTAAAAGAGGCCTGCACTTAATTGTGTGTCAGGATTGGACCCTTCACCCACCCCTTTTTTTTGAGGTGCAAGCAGCATCTCTGTGACAGCAGTTGATGTGCCTTTCCCCTCGGGACAGGGGCATCTGGCGCTCCTCTTCTTCCGCTCTTTATGATGCTCCACCCATTGTGCCCCCAACTCTGTCAGCGTTTTGTTACTCTATGGCCCAGCAGCAACCATTTTGTTACTCTCCCCCGTGGAGCTTTCTTCAAAGTCCAGCTGCACCCCCTGCCCCGTCCCCCATGCTCCCTGGCCACCCGCTCTTGTCGGACCATGCAAACATGTGACGAAAGAGAGGAGGGGCTGCCACCCACCTTTCCGAGAGAGGGCAGGAAAAGAGGCTCCAGCCTAGGCTGAGGGAAGTGGGCATGGGAGGGTGTTTGCCCCCAGCCTAGCCCACTCACTCTGCGAACCGGGCATCTGCAAGGCCGGGTGCTGGAGGGCGATGAGCTGCCCCTGCAAATGGCACAAAGGCTGCCGCGTTTGCAAAACAAGATGCATTTTATGCCAGTCAATGATTTGTAAAGACAATCCTTGTATGAGTCAAGACTTCGTCCGTTTTGGAGCTGCGCTGTATCTTTGTACAGGGGTACCTCTGGTGGCGAATGGGATCTGTTCCGGAGGCCCGTTCACAACCTGAAAGGAATGCTCCCCGCGTCTTGAAAGCTTTTGCAGATGATCTGGTCTTAACATTACAGGAGCCAGAATCTAGTACAAAAAGAGCTTTAGAACTGATACATGAATTTGGTCGGGTGGCGGGATTCAAGCTGAATAAGCAAAAAACCAAGGTTTTGGCTAAAAATTTGTCAGCATCAGAAACAGATGGGTTTCAGAAGGAGACAGAATTAAGTGTGGTGAAAAAAGTGAAATACCTAGAGGTTCATTTGTCTGCTAGAAATTTGAATTTATTTAAAGATAACTATGAAAAATGTTGGACAGAAATTAAAAAAGATTTAGAAATTTGGTCAAGATTGAAACTTTCCTTGTTGGGTCGAATAGCAGCTATAAAAATGAATGTATTGCCTAAAATGTTATTTTTGTTCCAGACCCTACAGATCGTGGACAGAGTGGTGTGTTTTGGGAAGTGGCAGAAGGATATCTCTAAGTTTGTGTGGCAGGGCAAAAAGCCCCGAATAAAGTTTAAAATATTAACTGATTCAAAGGAAAGAGGGGGGTTTGCCCTGCCAGATTTAAGGTTGTATTATGAAGCTGCAGCCTTCTGCTGGATGAAAGATTGGCTACTTCTTGAGAACACTGATGTCCTAGATCTGGAAGGGTTTGACAACGCTTTTGGTTGGCATGCATATCTATGGTACGACAAGGTAAAAATTCATAAGCTTTTCAAAAACCATATTGTCAGAAGATCAATATTTATGGTCTGGACAAAATACAAAGACTTATTAGAAGGCAAGACCCCGAGGTGGCTATCACCAATGGAGGCCAAGGCCAGAAAAAGACTCAATATGGAGGCCAGTTGGCCGAAATATTGGGAGATAATAGAAAAAATTGGAGACAGTTGGAAGTTGAAGAGCTTGGAGAAATTAAAAAACAAGGTGCGAGATTGGTTACATTATGCTCAAATCCAAGAGGTTTTTAAATTAGACAAAAAAATAGGGTTCCAGGTGGAAAAATCGAAATTAGAGACAGAACTGTTAGAACCGAAGACTAAGGTACTTTCGAGAATGTACAACTTGCTGCTTAAATGGAATACACAAGATGAGACAGTTAAATCGGCCATGATAAAATGGGCACAGGATATTGGGCATAACATCATGTTTGAGGACTGGGAAAAGTTATGGACCACCGGAATGAAATTCACGGCATGTAATGCCTTGAAGGAAAACATTATGAAAATGATATACCGGTGGTACATGACCCCAGTCAAGCTTGCTAAGA